GGTTCAGTCCGTGGCGTGTGCGGTGCAAAAGTCCGGCATCTCTGTCAATGTTTCTTCGCTTAGTAAATAAAGCCTGTGAAGTGATGACAGTCGAGTCGCGTCTGTGAATTCGTATTTGTAATGAAGAAAGCGTAACCATATTATTTCATTTCGTGATTGTAATTCATAATTTGTGTGTGATTTATCATGGGCATGGGCGGGTGGAATGTCAACAGGTCTGGGTGGGTGCGGATTTAACTTTGGTGCGGTGCTGTACTGCGCAGGTGTGGGTCTCCAAAAATGGACCCATGCAGGACTCTGAGTTAGGTCACGTTGGTCACGTGGTAGCGGTGACCCAACATGCACCGCGGTGGGCCTTTTAGTACCGCAGTGATTAATTTTTGCGGTTATCGCGACAGCCCTAGAATGCAACACAACCCAACTCCAGGTATGTTTTTGATGAGGTAACAACATTGTAACATGATTAAAACAAGAGTCAACAAGCGTCAGTTTAGTGTAGAGACTGTGTGGTGACTGTCATTTTATCTACTGCTTCATTGGAATATGACGATGATGACCGTGACCCAAAATCACACCTCAACAAGGCTCTTGAGCTTATTTAAAGATAAGATAAGGCAATCTTCATTTGTCTCACTATGGGAAAGGTCTTTAGTGTTGCTATGCTCAGTTTAAGAACAGTTAAAGAATATAAATAGGTACTCAAAAAGGTTTGATTTACTTGAATTAATATTTCTGCTGTCATTGTAGGACTGCTTTTTGGAACAACAGATTCTCAAAAAATTTAACTTGCCAGTAATTATCCAATCCAACCCAATCCACTTTATTTATATAGCACATTTTACAAACATGACAGTTTCCAAAGTGCTGCACAGACAAATTAATACAATAAAAGACAGTAAATCATAATTAAAAACAATAAAGAAAAAGTGCTAAAATGCATAAAGCTAAAAATGGTAAAACAATTAATAAAATAAAGTAAATAACTAAAATAAATAAAAGACACACAACTCACACGGTGTTAAAAGGCAGAGAGTTAAAGCGGGTCTCAACTTAACTCTATTCGTTTATTCAATCCAAATGTAAAAACACTGGGAAAAAAATCTCAGGAGATTTTCAGCATATGTGCACACTTGTGGCAATTTTTGTCTCACGAGATCTTGAGGCACGAGATCTTGTCCCTCCCCTGCTGTGCAAGTACCCTATAATTAAATAAAATAAAGAGCTGCAGCACTATTGTGTACATAAGTGGCTCTGACTATTATCAAGTGCAGTGCAGCATGTAAACAACATAAAACAAGTGACTTCAGTGTATTATACAGGAGATTATTCATACTGTGTTACAATATTGCACATAATTACTAAAGGCATACTATATTTTCTGAAGGAGGGTCCACTACCTGCTCATCTTTATGTTGCTGCTTAGACTGGAATGTTCCGCCGTATGGCATTAAACAGACCTTGCAATTTTTCAACTTACAGTGTTTTATTGCGCAAAAAGACATTGAAAAACATGCATTATTGTGAGTGAGGTCGCCTCTCCACAGATCTGACTTCTGATATTGTGTGTCTCCAGTAGGGGTGTAACGATATCCATATTGTCACAGTATGAACGTCACGATATGATATTTATTGCCATATTGTGGGAAAGCACACGATGTGGTGGAGAGGCTCACGATTAGGGATGTAACAATCTCCAAATCTCTCGGTACGATATTTACACGGTGTACATCTCACGGTACGATATTTATTGCAATATTTTGTGGAGGTCAATTTGTGACCTTTTCCTCTTAAAATGCCTTGACAAGACTTAATCCAAAGAACTGAGACTTAAAAGTGCTTAGAACTGTTATTTCTTCTTGTAGCCTACACTGAAATGGAGCAAAGGATCATGGTCTATGTAGTTCCTTGTCTTTTTTAGCTATTGCTGCAACATAACTCTTAATTTAAGCAAAGACACTTGTAATTCAATATATTGTGATGGTCCATGATATTATTGTGAGCACTTTGACGATACAATATCACGATATTTTGGTTATTTTGACATCCCTAGTCTCCAAGGAGATACGTAAGTTTAATGTCATACTGTGTAACATTCCAGGAAAAGCAACAACATCTCCGCGGAGACAAGCAGGTGGTCCAGTCTCCAGTGGTTTGCTATATGTCGCTCCTCACTCCTTCCCCCATTTTTGTTCCGCCGAATAAAGTCTAAATGAGCAAAATGAGAGAAATATATCTTTAGAATGTTAAAAACTGAAATATCAATTATTAATAAATGTGCTAATAGTTTGAGAAGTATTTAATTTATTTATTTACTGCAATTGTTTCAAGCCATATTGGTGTCAGCTGACTTATGTAACATGGGGTATGAACCGTGCCAAATTCAAACTCGTGACATAATTTCGCAAGCAAACTTTACACCACAAATTCTACATGTTAAATTTTGGGATTTTTAAAACAAATGTGACTATTTACTTCATCCAATCATCCAATATGGACAGACAAGCGCGCTACATACAAGCCCTCGCATTGACCGAATCGAAATCATGCAAACAGCGGTGCTCTCAGCATTAACTAATAGCCGCACAAAGTGAGTCTGTTGTTTAGTTTGTCTTCGTAAACCTAATCAGAAAGCTAAGTATATGGGTCACATTCTCAATCACAACATGTTCAAAATAGCGAACAAGGACAGCTTTGTGTCTCTTCCCCCGCTCTCAAAGACGGCATTCTCTGGCCCTGCCACAAGTTGGATGGCCTCCTGTTTAGTGTTTCCATGACGACTGGCCTCTATGGAGAGATTTTGTACTTTTTTATATTAGAAGTACTGTACAAACTGTGACGTGGTATTAGTGGAGTTTTCCAAAGGTAGTTTTCCACGGCTAGGAGGGTGCATGACTGAAAGGTAGTCTTGTTCTTCAGTGCAGGTGTTTATATGGGAATTCCATAGTAAATATTTTAAAAGTTGGACACATTCCTCGCTCTGGTTCCAAAAACACACTTTTTAGCCGGGCTGTGCTGTAGTGCAGTGTTAAAGTGCCAATTTTCTTTTTTTTTGGAGATCCATATTTCAAAAGTCATAAACCTTCGCGACCCAAGTCAATAGACGTTATTTGTAAATCACAAAATAAAGGTGGATTTGACCATATTTTGACCATATTTTAAGCATATTTTATTGTTGACTGAGTGATTGTGTCTCTCTGAACAATTAGTATTAAGCAAGTTTAAAACAATGAAAAACACTAATTGAACCAGCATTAAAAGGATCCTTAAGTCGCCCATTTCTTTTTCTTTTCAGTATTCAATTGAACTAGCAATATTGGAACAAAATACTCTGTAGAGCTGTATATTGGAAACCTACATGCAGATTGTGACAAGGTGACTTAAAAAAAAAAATCTCTTGCGACTCACCTGAAGGTCGTGACCCAGTGCTGTAATGGACTGAGTAGGGAGGAAAAATTAGGGACTAGTTTTGGAGCAGATAGAGTCCTGTATTCCTGATTCCTGTTTTTCACCGCATGATACTAAAGTCCGCTTCTAATCTATAATGATTCTATAACTTTGAAAGAGCTTTTTTAGTAGTTTTTCAATGTGAAAGTCCACAGAAGCAAGATGATTCTAAGAAATGACTCCTATCTAATGGCATTTCTGAGTAGAGAACATTGACAACTGTCCTCGTTCTTGTTCCATTTGTCTGATGTAGAGTTTTGACTTGAAAATGGCTTATTAGTGGTCATACTACTACTACTTCTACTACCACATCTGCTGCTACTACCACTATTGATCGATACTAAAACTAGTATTGAAGTAGATAGTTTGAAAAAGTATTGATACTGAAGAAAACTGCATAAACAGATCTTTCTGATATACTATTGATCTATATCAGAATGATCTTAAATAACATAACATCTTAAATAAACCATTATTTTGTGTTGAAAATTAAATTCGAATGTCTTAAAAGTAGTCTTTTCTTGTGTATTAGGAATTCATTTAAAAATGTTAGTATCTTGCCAACTTTAGTCCCATTTTATTGAAATTTGCAAACGATTCATTGAAGTTCCAGTGTTTCTCTCTTTGGCCCATTGTGTCACACTTTTGTATTAGACTAGGAGTAGAAGTTGGCGCATTAATTGCCAAAACATTACATTTAGAGTCAACCTGGCTAAAACCATTGTAATAGTAGTTTTAGTAGTGGTAGTAGTTGCTGAAGCAATAGCAGTAGTAGCATCAGTAACAAAAAAGAAATGTGCATTTAGAATCAACCTGGCTAAAACAATTACAGTACATTATGAACTAACCAAAGCTCTGGGTGGTAGTAGCAGGGTTCCCACGGTCATGGAAATTCTGGAAAGTCATGGAAATTTAAAATCTCATTTTCCAGGCCTGGAAAAGTCATGGAATTCTGTAAATTCAATGAAAGTTTTGGAAAAGTCATACATTTTTAGTATCTCTTTCACACAATTACAGCATTAAGTTAAGTTATCATTAGGCCATTATGATTATTTCTGAACGATGCGCCTTTTGTTTAAAAGAGATGACAATAAATGCATTGACAGTATTTTGAATGTTAAAACTATAATACCAAACTATAAGATGAGTGGAAAGGGTTAACATTTCATATTTACCCCTAAAGGTCTGAACAATTCTACACATGTAGGTGCTGTAAAGTCATGGAAAATTCACTTTAGGTCATGAAAAAGTCAAGGAAAAGTTTTGAAATTTTGTCAGTGAAAAAGAGTGGGAACCCTGTAATAGTGTTAGCAGTAGTAGCAGTGATAGCAGAGTTCACTCTTAGCACCAGGACTTCAAAGTGATGATTCTATAGTTCCTAAAAATGTTTCCCTCGACTTTTCTATTTCTTTATATTAAAAAAAATCACTCTAACTTTCAACCCTGCCTCTTTGCACCTGTAATTCCCTTTGACAAAACACCAGATGTGACCAACTTTTGCATAAACAACTACTTGCCTATTGTCTCACACTTGCCTTCTCTCTCGTCTCTTTCAGTTTCGGAAAGCGCTCGGCGGGCAGCCTCAGACGTGGATGTGAGTGTATAGTCCTCGAGCCTTCCGAGATGATTGTGGTGAGTCCCCCTCGTTGGTGTCAGAAGCATTCACTTGCACGGCATACAGTGGAGCGGGTCTGGACCTGGCACCGCACCTCCTGTCTGCAGTAGACATGTCAACAGCTCAGCAGTGAAAGAGGATTATCACTATTTGAACCTCGCCAATAAATCACCACATTCAGACCACATAACATGCTATTTAAATACGACTTGTCATACGGGGTGCCAAATTGTGTAAGATCCAATTTCTGGACCGAAGCTGGGATTTCTCTGTGCAGTTTAGAGGTTTATTTAAATAAGCACTATAGGCTAATCCTCCAGCTAGAGAGCAGGGGTGTGCAAAAATATTGAAATAACGATATATATATAATTTAATTTGATGATACAGTATCGATATTTTGTGAAAGAGCTACAGTTGTGTTGCTTTTTTGGAGAAAGTTCACTTGTTTATGACATTTTCACAGTTTTGAATAAAAGGGGTGTTTTATATGAACTTAGTGGTTTAATAAAGACTGAACCGTATCGTATCGAATCGTATTAAATTGAAAGTGGACTGTATCGAAAACTATATTGTATCGGTAACTTCTTAACGATACCCAGCCCTACTAGAGATTGATTCATTTATTCCGTTTGCAGGTATATTCTGACATAATTCCACAGACAGTCGTATTTAACAGACCAAAAAGGTGTAGGCTGAAGCTTGAGCTTATTATCCCTACCTTATATTCCTTTGTCATAGCATCATCTTGAAACCAGTTTATATTCATAAACAGAGCAAGAGGAAACAAACAAATCTGTAGCAATATAGCAAAGTACTGCAGCACAAACTAAGTATCATAATTCATTTATCTGCCCAGAGTTAAACATTTAAACTTCTTTTTAAAATCGAAGAGAGTGGTGCACAATTTTAGGTTCTTTTTGATAAACATGGCCGTACCTCCGAGCTCATATTGGCTATTTCGGATTTTTAACATATTCTGTAAAGATTTTGACAAAAGCTACGAGTCGTAAGCAAGATAATGGCCAGCTGCACAGTGGAAATAGTCATATGCAAAACACTTTAACTACTTTAACTAGTCCTGAACAATTTGGGGAAAATATCTAATTGTAATTTTTCTGACAAGCTTTGCAGTTGTGATTAGATTTGCAATTAATAATAGGATAGTGTTCAAAGTTCAGATTTTGCCCAGAAGAACTGACTAAAAGGCTGAAATATGAACTGTCAAACTAATACAAGGACCACTAAAGGCAGCACACACTGAACACAAACCTGCAAATGGATTTAGTTTTCACTAGAATTGTCAAAAGGGAACAGTAGACAGTGCCATTAAAACACCATTTACACAATTTATTTAGTTTTAGTTAGTTTTTAGGGCCCATATTTTGCCACTTTGTGATCTATGTCATAATATTTCCTGATCACAAACAGACCTGGAGTTGTGTTTTGTTTCATTCACGCTGTAATGGGCCCAACAGAAAGGCAAAGACAAGGTATAAAAAGAAGTTTAAATAAAGTAAAAAAAAAAAAATAAAGTAATTTACCAAAGGCTCTAATGAGGTAAATAAGTAACAGAAAGTCGGGCCCAACTGAGGTAACTTAAATCAAACTGAACAGAATCAAAACTAACCCAATCAGACAAAGAACAGGAGTGTTTAAATACAAGAGGGCCAACTAAGGTTATGTTTTACACTAAGAATCACCGTATCACCGGATCGGAAACAATTTGTATCCGGCCACGTCATTTATGTGTCCGCAATCAAAGCCTGAAACGCTAGTCACATGACTAGGCTGGTGTCACGTCGTCACAACTTCACGTGGGCAATAAAAACAACGAAGTGGAGCACTGTCAAGGAAATTCTGCTCACAAGACAATTCTGTTAAAAAGAAACACTCAGAAATGACCAAGAGTAGTTTATACTTGCGCAAGGAGAGTTGAGGACTGCCTGCCCCTGGCTACGCTCTGGCCTACTCTGCCCCACAACTCTCCGAGCACCCATTTATTCAAAATCATGACACAGATAAGGTACAATACATGACATCATATCACACAGTGTTTACATGATCACATACTAACAATCTTTTAGTCTAAAATTATTTATGTTTTGATTTGTTTTTATTATGATTTTAATGTTTTTCTTGTTCTGTAAAGCACTTTGAATTACTTTGTGTACGAATTGTGCTATACAAATAAACTTGCCTTGTCTTTCCTTGCCTAAACCGCCCCCCCATTTCACACTTGATTACATGTTCCAGGTGATAAACAATCAGGTCAGTTTTCTCCCAAACTTATGTTGAACACATGATGTTGAAAGCCCTTAGCTGCTTTTCTCATAGAAGATAAATAGATTAGCTTGATGAGTCAGGAACTCTTTAACTAGGTCATATGATTGCATATATGGAAAAACCCAAAAAACAATTATTGATAACTTTATTCTCACACACAAATTATTACGTCGTTAAATGATTCATAACACTTAAAATAACAGAGAAATTCTTTCACAAGCACCTTGTCTGAAGTTGCAGCATCCGATTTTGAGTTGATGAAGATGGCAAGTGTGAATGTAGTAAGAAGTTCTAGCTGCGCTGTTTCCCGTTTGTCTATGGTTTGTTTAAACTGTTTTCCACAATAGCGTCACATGACCGATGTCACGAACCCAGCGAATCAGGAAGGCGCAAGTCACAGTGACGTGGTTCAATAAGGACGGCAACTTGAGCTCTTACGTCAGCGTATCAACCGTCTCTGGAGCCGTTTTCCATCGGATTCAGTGTGGACGAACACTGCATCCACAACGAAAGCGACTTGAATATGTACTAGTGTGGATGGGGCCTAAAACTGAACATAAGACAGGGGGAATTACACTAAATAATTAACTAAAACTACTAACTTAATCAAAGTAACAAGAAGGCAAATAAGTAAAATACAGAAAATAATAAGTGATAATAAAGTGACCTTGAACAAACTAGACAAACTAATTTAGTAAAACAAACTAAATAGTGCAACCCCCCCTTTGTTGGTCGTGGGTGGTCTCTGCCAAGGGTCACTCAAACAAAAAAGAACAAGTGTAAGTGAAAATTCAGACTCATATTAACTAAAATATGTGCACCCAAATGAGAATATAAGTGTAAATAAAGGAATTAAATAAAAGTTTATGTGCTTTAATTAACTTAATGTAAATGAAATGAAATAATACTAACACTGTGTAGCAGTGGCAGAAGTATCCACCATACACACATTTAACACACGAATTTTGCATGTTTAGGCTCTCAGTTCTTCTCTCCAACAAAAACTCTTGATGGGTATTTTTACACAGCACTACTCCAACATGTGTGAATGAAACAAAACTCTACTCAAGGTATGTTTTTGATGAGGTAACAACATTCTAACATGGCTTCAAACTCATAAGAGCCCACCTTTAAGGAACTGCTCGGTGTCTTTAAAATGTATTCAGTCTAATTCATCACAGGTAGCTGCTTTTACAATATACTATAAGGAATTTTCTTGGACTATGACACATAAAGGTCAGATAGTTTTTCTCAAATCTATCTTTATCATATGGCTACTTTAGTACTTCAGCCAACATAAAACACATTGTCGTCTGGCATTACCTTACTTCATAAATCATAGCTATCGATTCTTTCTTCTATTCTCATAAAACAAAATCATCTGTATTGACGTAATGTATGGTCTATCTGCCGCAGGTTTTCATGGACTTTGGGTCTTAGCGCCGCCCATTTAATCAGCCTAAGTGCTTTTTCCCATTGATATTTATCTCAACTCCAAACTTTTGATTTAACAGTCGTCTTCCCTGGAGTCCTTCCAAATCATCCGGTCGTTTGAGTCCAAGGATGCTCCCAAATTCTGACCCACTTCTTCTATATAGACTCTGTAAAAATTATAATGGAGGCAGCTGGAGGCAAAAGTAAAATGGAGCATAATGTGATTTCAATGAGGAAACGACCATTACAGGCATGCACAAAATACAAAAGGGGTATTTGGTAAATGGTAACCACTCAGATACATTATTTTTTAATAGGAGATTATGATATACACCAGGCATTTTTTATGAAATGCTGAGAATTTACTGGCAAAATACTTGAAATGTTGAGCCCACTATATATTGTTTACTTACTGTATTTTTCGGACTATAAGTCACTCCGGAGTATAAGTCACACCATCTTAAAAATGCATAACCGCACAGGACTATAAGTTGCACTTTTTGAGGGAAATGTATTTTATAAAATCAGAGACCAGGAACCGACATTTTATCTTCAAAGGCAAGTTATACTATTTACAAAAGAATAGAGAACAACAGGCTGTTAACATAACATATGAGTAGTTCTTCAGATAACTATAGCATAAACAACAGAACAAGTTTACCAAACTCTCCATCTCACTCCAAATCACTAAATCCATTGAATTCTTCATCCTCGGTGTCACTTCTGCCCAACTCCATGACCTCCAGAGTTAAATGGAGCACCGCTTCCTCTTCTGTGTAGCTGTTGTCAGACTCAGCATTAGTTCCAGTTAGAATTATTCCAGCCTTTCTGAATCGTGATGGAGTCACTGAAGTCACTTAAATTTTAAATTTTCAGTGGTACTGAAGTAATGGTGCAATCGACTGACATGATACAGACAGGACAGCGGCTCTTTCTGCAGGAGACATGCGCAGTAGAGTGTAGTGACAGTGGTACAGAAGTAATGGGAGTAGCAGATACTGACACACAAGTCTAGAGCGCCCTCTCATGGCTGTCAAGATGAACATTTTAATATATAAATCGCACCTGAATATAAATCGCAGGACCATCCAAACCATGAAAAAAGTCTGACTTATATTCAGAAAAATACAGTAAATTAGATCTATTACACATTTCACAATAATTTACTTTTTGTGGAGCTCAAATATGATTTTCAGGCTTAAAAATTGATACTTTGCAGCTGATAGCATCATTATTCGCTGGGGGTGTGATGCTAACTGAAAGCACTACTATGTTAGAAGCTCTGTTGCTCAAGTTAGAC